GAATGGAATGTATCAAAGTAGAGAGAGAAAGAAAATAGTGTAACTGATTAGCGTATTTAGTGACCTAGGGCTAGGAGGTAACCAAAATTAAATATTTTACTAGTATCTATAGAATATAATTTTTTTAAATGGTATTTATTTAAAATAAATAAGGTGTTAACATTTGCTATAGGAGGTAAAAATTCCTATATTTTATCGTAAGGGTTCATATAAACTGTCGGTCTATCGGAACCCTTCTCCTTTATCCATATTTGGGATCACGATATGAGTAAAAAATAAAAGACTAACTAAAATTACATTTCACTTTTATTATACACCTTAATGAAATTTCCCTTATTTCTCGAAAGAAAAAATTCTGATTATATTACAACAAGCCGTCTACTACTTAATTTTAGTATTTGTACTTTATTCCAATTTGTTGAAAATAACAGAGAGAAAAAATGTAATAGCACCTTAATTGTGCCTAAATAATAAGAAGAGAAAATAAATTCCACTAACCTACATGACTTTTTCCGAACATACCGTAGAAGCAGCGGCTAATTTGAAAAACCGTTATTAAACGTGACAACCACTCCCTTCTCTCTTTCCATCTCTGACCACTCTACTAACAATTAATTCTAATAAAAATTAGTATATCTCATTCCTCATAAAAAGATATGTAACTGAAAAAATATACACAATATCATCTGACCTTCAACCTTATTGTTCCACATCTTAGCATTGAAATCCCAGGTTCTTTTTTTTTAATCATTCCTGTTATACTTTATGGTTTTTGACATGTTATCAAATTTGTCTTTTTTCAGTTTTTCCCTTGTTCTCTTGATCTGATTTTTCAGCTATCAGTATTTACAGACAAAACCATTCGGCTATTGGGAAAAGGTCAATATACTTCTAATGCCGAATCAAGACTAACTAGGATAGGAATTAAAAGATCTTACTGAAATTGTTCGTTTGGAAATTTTCCGAAAATGTAATTATAGGTTCTTCTCTCTATCAGAACAACAGGGCTGTTATGTTTATCAATAAACTTGTCGAAGAAATAAAATATTACCAAGGTATATCTTTTTTTATCAGAGGTTGAATGGAAAGAAGAATTAGGACAAGAATTAGGATATATTCGAGGAAACAAAAAAATAAGATGTGGATTGTAGGGAAGGAGAGCGTTGGAGCAACAATCAAGTTGTCTTCGTGTGACCTATAGGTCACGGGTTCGAGCCGTGGAATCTAGGCTGCCTACATCACACCCTCTTGGGTACGGCAATTTCCTGGACCCTGCATAAACGCGAGTGCTTTGTGCATTGGGATGCCCTTTTATTACAGGGATTTTGATGAAACAATATTTTTAGGAGTTGTTTATGTACATCCTTTATGTTGTATAAGAAACATCACTTCTCTATAGAAACTGGCAATCCAATTTGCTTGTTTCAAAAAAAAAATCTGGATAATCATTTTCATTCATAGGTTTACTGGCATATTCTGCAGTCTTATTTTGCTACTCTATTTTTTTTTTTTTTTTTTTTTTTTTTGGTTATCTTTATTTTCAATGATAAATGATAGGAAGCTTTTACGTGCAGTAAAATAGGCAAATATGGAGGGAACACTGTTTTCCCCTGCTTTGGAAGGAATGAAACATGTCAAGTCTGAACATGGGGAGCTGATGACTAAGCCTTTCTTGGAAGTTTGCAAACTTGTATTGCCAATTCTAGGTTCAAACCTTTTCTCCAAATTTATCATGATTATTACTCTGTGATTTTGCTTTCATTGAGCCGAGGGTCTATCGGAAACAAGTTGTCTACCTTAACAAAGTAGGGGTAAGGTCAACGTACAGACTACCCTTCTCAGACTTCACTTATGGGATTACACCGAGTACATTATTGTTGTTACACTTCTAGTATTGAAGCCAATTTCTGTTAGTAGAGAATATTGCATGATAAAGTTGATGTCATGTGACCAGGAGGTTACGGGTTCGAGCCGTGGAAACAGCCTCTTGCAGAAATGCAGGGTAAGGCTGCATACAATAGATCTTTGTGGTCCGGCCCTTCCCCGGACCCCGCACATAGCGGGAGCTTAGTGCACCAGGCTGCCCTTTAAAAAATATTTCATGATGTTAGTATATTCACCACCTTAACAACCTTTTGTGCTAAACTGATGCATATTTGGATTCTCATAGATAGATGTATTTGTGTTATCTGAAGTTTTTTAACAAATTGACACCCTGATGCCAGATAAATTTGGAGCTGCTATGACTGTGGTTAAATCTGACATCAATGGAAATATATCAGTGAGTCGTTAGTCATTTCTTTGTTTCTTCTGTTTAAATGTTACAAATATCGCGACTTGTGCTGCAGATTTCATGTGTAACAGTATCATTAGAATTCTTCTTTTTGAAAATCTCTCATGTAACCTTATACATATGCAAAATTTGAGATATCTGACATTGGTCCTAATAGCGAATACTCAATGCTTGTTTCCTTACAGAGGTTAGAATCCAAGTATAATGATAACACATCGAGATTCAACTACTTGTACAGTTTCGTACAGGCAGAAGTTGAGATAAAGACTGCTAAATCATCATCAAGTTGTACCAATGGTTTGCTATGGTTAACAAGGTAGGCGATTGTTTTTCCATCCTCGTTATGTAGTCCTTTATCTTTGGTGCATAACAAGCTTGCATTTGCTTATTTCATGAACGAACTCTGGTTCCATAATGTGTAACGCTAAATAGACTAATCGATCTTTCTGCTAATGCTGCAGAGCCATGGACTTCATAGTAGTGCTATTTCACAATTTAGTTCAGCATCAGGATTGGTCAATGTCCCAAGCTTGCAACGATTCTTACGCCAAGACATTGAAGAAATGGCATGGATGGCTTGCTAGTTCAAGCTTTACGGTATTTTCCTCACTGTGTTTTCAGTCTAAAAATGATCTAACAACAGGATTTCAACTAGCCAAAGACTTTGTCTCATTGATATGTTAATCTCTTATATGAGAAACTGTACTGTAAATTTGGTCTTTTGAACCTGTAAAGCGTGCTAACGTGTTTCTTAATGTGAACCAAAGGTTGCCATAAAGCTTGCTCCAGATAGGAAAAAGTTCATGGAGGTTATAGGTGGCAACGGTGACATCTACGGAGATATGGAAAAGTTTTGTACGACGTTTTCACCTATACTTCAGCAAATCCACAAATTTCTGGTATGACATTAGTACTCCTTTCAAGTTTTCAAACAAAACTACGGTTGACTTAAGTTTGTGAACGATGTATTGGCCT